AATGTTCAAGCACTCTCCTGCCAGCTGGCGGACGTCCTATCATTTCTGCAGATACTGATGGACAGGGGCCTCACATTCAGCACTATTAAAACTTATGCTGCAGCTATCTCATCCTGTCACCAGGGTTTTGGAGATAGATCTGTTTTCAATTATCCCCTCACAATACGTTTTCTAAAAGGTGTCAGGAGGAACAGACCTGTGTCCCGCCCGCTATTTCCCCAGTGGGACCTAACGGTGGTTCTGCGCGGCTTATCTGAAGCCCCATTTGAACCCTTGGACCAGGTCTCACTCAAGTTCCTGTCACTCAAAACTGCCTTGCTGCTGGCGCTGGCGTCAGTCAAGAGGGTGAGCGACCTAACCGCCCTCTCAGTGGCTCCCGCATGCCTCAGGATCCGGGAAGATGGCGGGTGTGCTGTTTTATGCCCCAACCCAGCCTTTGTGCCCAAAAACATTAATGCTTCCTTCAAATCCAGGTCAATTTAATTGGCTGGACTTTTTCCTCCTCCCCATAATTCTGATGAGGAGGCGGCTTCCCACCTTCTCTGCTGGTGCATGCGCTTGCACGATAGGTGTCACGCACTTCAGGGATTCGCCGCTCACAAAGCCTGTTTGTGCTCTACAGAGATTCTTCCCTTGGGCAAGCGCTGTCAACCCAGCGTCTTTCACACTGGCTATGTGACGCCATTTCACTCGCTTACACATCATCAGGGCGGGATCCTCCTGAGATACTCAGGGCTCACTCAGCCAGAGGGATTTCCTCTTCTATGGCGCTCCACAGTGGTGTGTCGATGGAAGACATTTGTCAGGCTGCGTCATGGGCTTCACCCTGTTCCTTTACTCGTTATTATTTACGAGATGTGTCTTCAGGATCCATCACTCATTCACTGCTTGGACCTCAGCAGGCTGAGTGAAGGCTTTATGGCACCACATCAGCCTTGCTTGAATGATGTTCATCCTCTTGTGGATGATAATTTTAGTGGGGCCCCACTCTCCTCTCTGGTTGCTTCAGCCTTTTAAGCCCTGGGCTGCGGCTGAGCGTCCCTCACTAAAAGGAGACATGTTGGGTGTGTCCTTTGGTTGAGCTAAGCAGTGGGTTAGGGCATTATTCCAATAGCAGCTAGCTTATGGACTAAGACTAGATGAAATAGAACGTTGGTTACGTATTGTAACCCCAGATTCTATGAGTCTAGTTGCAGCCCTTAAGCCACTGACCCCACTGGTTCTTTTAGGACTAAGAGCCATCGGAGGCGAACAGTGAAGTCGCTCCACTTATATACCCACAACGGGTGCCCACCATTGGTGGGCGTACATTTAAGCTCTTCATGATTGGCTGATGCTGAGATCATCCTTCCAATAGCAGCTAGCTTAAGGGCTGTGACTAGACTCATATAATCTGGGGTTACAATACGTAACCAACGTTTTGCTTTGAACAGAGCAAAACAGAGCAGGGCCTTTCAGGTCAGAAATGGACAAATCATCACGCTACACCTGAACAGCTGGTCACAGAGTTTATTTATACAAAGAGACAATAGAGGAATGGGAGTGAATCATGTGTGAGTGAGAGTGTGTGTGTATGTGTAGGACAAGAATGTGTGTGTGTGTGTGTGTGTGTGTGTGTGTGTGTGTGTGTGTGTGTGTGTGTGTGTGTGAATGCTTTCAGGACATTCAGTTATAAGATCTGTTAATAAGACTAAAGTAACAACGAAGCACAGAGCATGCGCTGACGGCCGATCACCGGATACACAGCAGCGTTTGAAGCTGATGGCAGCTCGTTAGCAAACATCCACAAACAATTAAGATGCATTTTTGCCTAATTTATCTACTGACAACGCAAAAAAAATTCTGGTAAGTATAACTCACTCAATCAGGAGGTACGTGAAGAAAATTTAGAAAGTTTACAAAACTATATTGACGGAGTTTTTCGTTATGGGTCCGAAGAAATCAGCAGCTGAGCCTGAAACACCTGGGACCAAGAGGAGCCGTCCTCAGGACTTGCCTGAGGCCTCATCTCCCCATAAGGACATATCAGAATTATTGGACTCTACAGATAAATGGCTTCTGGGATTTGAGGGACGACTTAATCTGCTAGAAGTTCTACACCAGGAGTTTCAGAACCTCCGAACATCTTTGGAGTTCAGCCAAGAGCAGGTTGAACGACTCGCTGCAGAGAACTCGTCTCTGCGGGAGTCCGTTTCTTCCCTGGAAGAGGGAATGACGACCGCGGTAAGTGAGCCGTCATTTGTGAGCCGCGGTCAAGCCAGCCGCATCTTATCCGCCGCGTAAATTTCCTTGCGCTTTTACACCAGTCTTTACGGTACCCCATTTTTCTAAAATTCATTAAAACTCATCCAAAGTAGTTGATGTCCAACTTTCAACACATTATTACTCTGGGACACCTACTGTACCTGTGTGCCACATTTCAGACAGATTTACTGTAGAAATCCTCAGATATTAAAGCAAACTTGTATTCAATGCAATACAGTCAATACAATATGTCATTTTCAAAAATTCATTAAAAATCATCCTGAGTAGTTGATGTCCAACTTTCAACAAATAATTACTCTGGGTCACCTACTGTACCTGTGTGCCACATTTCAGACAGATTTACTGTAGAAATCCTCAGATATTAAAGCAAACTTGTATTCAATGCAATACAGTCAATACAATTATGTCATTTTCTAAAATTCATAAAAACTCATCCTTAACAGTTGATGTCCAACTTTCACCACATCCCTACTCTGGGACACCTAAAGGCCTTTTCCACCGACCAAACTGGCATGGAATGGGAAGGATCGGGTCACTAAATATTCTGTTTCGATTGTTTAAACCAGTCCAGGAAACTACCCGAACCGGTCCAGTAGCGGGCCAGAGCGGGACCCCTTCTGTTGTGGGTCCAGAGATTTTTGGTCTGGGCGGAGCCAAAGCGTAAAAGGTCCAGAGTCCTCTGATTGGGGGAGAAATTACGTAACTACCTGCGACAATCCCAGGGGATGGAAAAGGAAGTGAGTCGAGTTCCAGTGTTTGTTTGGCTGTACTTCTTGTGTGTGAAAATGCCTGCAAGTAATAGCTTTTGGTCCAATGCGGAGCTTCAAACGTTCCTCACCATCATCGGAGATAGCAACATTCAGGCCGAGCTGGATGGGATGATAAGAAATGAGAAAGTCTTCAAAGAAGTTTCTCAGCGCATGGCAGCTGAAGGATTCCAGCGCACCTCCGAGCAGTGTCGTGCTAAGCTGAAAAAAATAAAAGCCCACTACAGAAAAGTTAAGGACAGCAACGGCCGTAGTGGGAATGGGCGAAGTACATGGAAGTGGTACGATGTGGTGGACGCTATTTATGGACACAGACCGTCAAACCGAGGCAGCGAAGGAGGCCTGGACTCAGCGACCAGTATCCTGGAGTCACTCATAAACCCTGTTGGTAAGCATTTCTTTTGTTGTCTTTTTAGCTCTGCAGGCCATTCATTGCAGCACCAAAAACACTGAATAATAGCAGCAGCTATTTAAGAAATGCTCAGCAAGTAAAGGATTTAGCCCCTCATGTTAACTAGCCTTAGCATCCCCTCGTGTTTATGCTAACCTTCATTTAGCATTCCCCCGTGTTTCTTAACACGCTGTTCGCGATATAAGCCTTTCATGTTTAGCATGTCCTTGTTGAGTACATGAGGCTGGAGCGGCGTTTGCCTTTCTTGTTAGCGTCTCATTGTTTAAAACATGGGAAATTCGGTTAGCCTTTCACGTTAGCATCTCAGTGTTGTTAGCATCTCATTGTTTTATACAGCTGAGCACGCACAGTGAGAAGAAGCGAGCTGATCTAATATTATAAATATCCCAAAAGTCGTGCCAGCAGTGTTTTTCGCCTAGAGTGGACTTTTAACAAGTATATATTTTTCGGATGAATAAGAATATAACATTAAATTGCAATTAATCTGTACGTCACTGGCGAATTACTGCCATCTAGTGGACACGTTCCAAATGACAAAATGGCCTTAAATCATAGCAGTTTTATTAAGTTTACTATATGCCTATATGCTCTTTTGCTGTAAAAATATTGTGCTTTTCTTACCGATTTATTTCGTGACCTTTTCTTACTGACTAATTTTTTGATCTGTGTTTTTCAGACACATCTGAAGCGGAAAACACTCCCTCTTCAGAGGAACCATCCACTTCCTCAAGTAGCACTCCAGGACCTTCTGTGCCACCATCACCTCTGTCCGTACCTTCTGTGCCACCATCGCCTCGGCCAGTTCCATCGCCACCACCATCACCTCTGTCCACTACCACTCGAGAGGAACATCTACCATGTCGTCGACGCACAGGTAGTGTCTGACCATTCTAAAAATTGCTTTGTGCATAAACAAAACTGACAAGTTCACTGGACAACTGACATTTTGATATCCATATAAACACAAATGTAATTGTCAATGTTGTTGTTTCCAGGTGACCGAAGACGGCGATTGGAAGCACGGACACAGGTGATATTTGATGAGTTGCAGATCGCAGATGGCAGGCAGATGGACAGAATGGAAGGCATAAGCCGGGAGCAGGTTAACTGGATGCAACAAGACGCAGCAGCAGCAAGACAACATGAATTACAGATCGCAGAGCGATATTTTGAACATTTGGGTGCCCTAAATGCTGTTCTTGGACTGGTCGCACAAAGAATGGGCAGCTCCTCTGACTTCCTGCCACCACCCAGGCAGTAAGGTGCTATGTATTTGTCCCGTAATTTTTTTTATCCGTCTGTCCTTTTTATCAATAAATTTTCAAAGAAAAACAAGGTGTGCATGAATTGTCTTAAAAATTTTTGCTCGCAAATTTACGTTTACATAATAAATGTAGATTACATTACAGCCCACCTTAAATATATGTTAAAATGAAAAGGTGCAACAGTTTGTTAACAGTAAAATAGTGTACTTTATTAAGTTCTGAAAATAAAACAAACATTTCAGTTCAAACTACAGGCTTCCAACAGTTAAAAGTGTCAAAACAATAAACAAAGTAAATGGAAAGAAAAAACACAAACTGAGGTCAGCGGGTGAAGTGTCGCATCAGAGCTTCACGCACATCACTGCCCTCCTCTGCAACTTCCTGCATATTTGCAACCACTGGTTCATCAGCAGGTGCGTCGCATTCTGTATATTCCTCCCCATGGCTCTCACAGATATTGTGAAGCACACAACAGGTCAGCACCATGTGTTTAAGAAGCTCTACATCACTGTCGTTTCTCTTCAGAAGACATCGCCACCTACCCTTTAGCCTCCCAAATGCATTTTCGACCACAACTCTGGCTCTGGACGTTTTCCTGTTGTACGCCTGTTGTTCAGCAGTGAGACGACCGTTGTCAGAAAATGGTTTTAGGAGCCAGTTCTGCAGAGGATAGGCAGAGTCCCCGAGCACATAAAAGCCTACATTTACTCCCTCAATGTTCTTGGTACTAGTTGGGTGCAGTTGTCCATGAGCAACCAAGTCCCAAAATGTGGACAATCGCAGCACACGGGCATCATGCAAGCTACCTGGCTGACCTGCATTAACATTCCAGAACATGCCTCTGCCATCCACAATGCCCTGGAGGATTATGGAATGCCAACCTTTCCTATTGAAGTAGTCTGTGTGGAATCCCTGTGGTGCGATTATTGGGATATGGGAACCATCGATGGCACCCACACACTGAGGAACCCCCCACCTGGTCTCAAAATAGTCAGCCATTTCCTGTAGCTTTTGCAGAGTTGGAAAAGCAATAACCTCGGCAAGCAAGAGTTTACAGACAGCCTTACAGAAGTCCTGCACACAGCGGCACACAGAGGTCGTGCTGACACCAAAAAGAAGCCCGATGCTCCTGTATTCACTGTTAGTTGCAAGCTTCCACAGTGCAATTGCAACTCTTTTCCTGAGTGGCACGCAGGCTCTGAAGTTGGTGTTCCTCTTCTGCATGGCTGGACGGAGCTTGGAACAAAGATATGAAAAGGTCTCTTCTGACATTCTGAAATGAGCTATCCAATCTGACGGAGTGAAGTTTGGCATGGTCACATCCCAGAAGGCGCTGGCACGGCTGAAGGCCCACACAGTTGGTTGCCGTCGCTGATTCAAAAGAGCCAACTAAAAAAAAAAACAGTCATAACACAGTAAAAGTAAAAAGAATAGTGCTGTGAAAAAGATTGAAACAGTATGGTTATAGACATAAAGTTCACATCAATAGAATTTGTTTAAGGTTAAAATAACAGCTGTTCTTTATGGCACTACCAGTGACTGGTTATGTTTTGTTCACTTTATAAAATGCACAAATGTGGTATTGCTTGTAATTACCTATATAATTAATTATAATAATTTCAGTACAGCTGCACAACTTATCTATGACATGCCCAGGAAGTAAAGAGTGAAGGATTCAGGCCCTCCTGTTGACTAGCATCACCATGAGTGCAGGAGCTGTTTGAAACTTAGTTAGGTGTTGGCCTTTCATGTTTAGCATGTCTTAAATGACCAATATACAACCAAACCATTTGATTTTGGTGCTTTTTTTTTTGTTTTTGTTTTTTGATAGTTGCCCTAGACACCCCCTCAGAGATTATAACGACGTATTACAGCATTAGAAGTTACTTACCACCTGGCGCCTCCGTCTTTGTCTCAACAGTAGAAAGTTATGCCTCGTGTCCGATATTAATTTCAGAAAGCGTCGTCGCCTTTCAGCTGCCCTCCTCCTCGATGCGCACAGCATAGCTCTAAACGCTATCGTGATGTGGGTGTAAAGAATATACCAAACACCAAGAACAGAAAGAACGCGCTGGTGACTGGACTCCATTGTTGTTGTGTTTTGGCGCGATCTCGTCGCGCTGTGTGACGTTAAGGCACACATCGCGCGTGACGCATTACGCTACCCCGCCTAGTTACTGGAGCCTGGAATGTGATAGAAACGCTTGCCAGAAAACTTCTAGACCCATACCGGTACATACCGGTCCATAATACCCAGACCTGACCGTCCCAGACCAGGCGATGGAAAAGAGCTACTACTGTACCTGTGTGCCAGACTTCAGACAGATTTACTGTTGAAATCCTCAGATATTAAAGCAAACTTGTATTCAATGCAATACAGTCAATACAATTATGTCATTTTCAGAAATTCATTAAAAATCATCCTTAATAGCTGATGTCCAACTTTCAACACATCCCTACTCTGGGACATGTACTGTACCTGTGTGCCACATTTCAGACAGATTTACTGTATAAATTCTCAGATATTAAAGCAAACTTGTATTCAATGCAATACAGTCAATATAATTGTCATTTTCAAAAATTCATTAAAAATTATCCAGAATAGTTTATGTCCTACTTTCAACACATCTTTCCTCTGGTTCACCTACTGTACCATTGTGCCACATTTCAGACAGATTTACTGTAGAAATCCTCAGATATTAAAGCAAACTTGTATTCAATACAATACAGTCAATACAATTATGTCATTTTCAGAAATTCATTAAAAATCATCCTTAATAGCTGATGTCCAACTTTCAACACATCCCTACTCTGGGACATGTACTGTACCTGTGTGCCACATTTCAGACAGATTTACTGTATAAATTCTCAGATATTAAAGCAAACTTGTATTCAATGCAATACAGTCAATACAATTATGTCATTTTCACAAATTCATTAAAAATCATCCTTAATAGTTGATGTCCAACTTTCAACATATTCTCCCTCTGGGACACCTACTGTTTATTATGTTACTATTTATTTTTTTATTTAAAGTTTTCCACTTTTTATTTTATAATTTTTCTCACCAGGCTGAAAAAGAACAAGCAGCAACAAAAAAAAAAAAAAAGGATCATGTCAGCACAACTCAGGCAAGATGTAGACATTTCAGTGTGGATTGCTGATATCTGCAAGTTTCAAGTGGACGCTGTTGTCAATGAAGCAAATACCATGTTACAACATTGTGGTGGGCTGGCATTGGAGATCTCAGAAAGTGGTGGGCCAAAAATACAGAAAGACAGCAATAATTACGTAGCAGAAAACGGACCTCTGCAGACTGGAGAAGCTATTGTAACAAGTGCTGGGAACCTGTATTGCAAAAAAAATTTCACGTAGTGGGACCATGTCTGCAAAGCAAACCATCAGCCCAAGATGTCACACGGGCAATACCTATTTTGCGACAGGCCATAATCAGTGTTTTGCTAAAGACAGAGGAGCACAAACTGTGTTCTATTGCAATTCCAGCAGTAAGTTCAGGAATATACAACATTCCTGCCAGGGCATGTGCTGATGTGATTGTTGAAACAATCTATGACCATATAAAAAGTAAAACTTTTAAATCAGCACCATTTACGATAAATCTTGTGGACAAGGAGGAGAAAAATGCAAAGGAACTTGAAAAGGGTTTATGTTCCCTTTTAACTATTCATCATTTTAATAGCTTTTCCAAACTAATTAATTATTGATTGCAGTAGCTTACCCTGATGTCAAATAGTTATTAGTATTCACAAATTAAATTTGAAAATAACAATCTTGTGCACATAAAACTTTTCAAAAAATACTTAACTTGTCCAATCAATGTATTAGGTCTCTATGTTGCTATAACACATAGTCATTTATATGTCTTGATGAATTGTCAATCATCCTTTTTATGTCAATCTCAAAAAGTTGAATCTATTCATCTGGACGTCACGTTTTCAGTGGGAGAAATGTTTCCTCACTTATCCAAGTAACTTCTTCAGTCTAAGCTGACTGCAGTTTTCACCAAAGTTATAAAGAATACATTTTCATAATCACTGAAACACGCAAACTGAAGAAATGATAGGTTGTGATGTGAGTTGCTTCATCATAATTGTGCAAATTGGTATGACCATTGATCAACAATGACTCACCACAGACCACTAATAAATGCCCATGAGTCAGTATACAAATTTACATTTTGTAAGATGCGGGAAACTTGGAGACAGGTCAGACTGAATATTTCACCTGGATGACTGAAGAAATGTTTGTCCCTCTGCACACGCTACGTGCAGATGAAGAGAATCAGCTTTTGGAGTTCATTTATATGTGTTTCCATATCACAAAACAAAATGAAAGCATTTTTAGTATTACATAGTATAGAGTGTACAAATACACTCTTAATTTTACCCATAGGTCACTGCACTGTGGAAAAGAAAGGAAACCGAAGTTGTTGTTGCTGTGATTCCATCACAAATAAAAAGGAACAACTTTATAGTTCACCAAAGCGAGCTGAAATCACTGGAACCTCATCAATGGTTAACAGGCGAGGTACGTGGAAAAGACAGTGTTACAAACCCTGTGTTTTAAGTGTTGTGGAAAGGGGTAACATAAGAACTAATGCGGAGAAGGAGGGGCGAGTATAAATAAAAGACGTATATTTAAACAGGGAGGGCAACCATTATACACAGTCCTAGACCGGAAAAACTCAAACAAACCACACTTCTAATCAAACTAAATGAAAAACACACTACGGGGGCAACCCAAAACAACGGTTCCAGGGAAGAAAACACGAGACTAACTATAGATTCTGAAAATAAAGCAAAGTGCCGGAACTAACAAAAAACCAAATCTCAACGGCTATCAATGTATAAAAAGATCTAAACGAAAAGCGAGCTACGAAGCTGAAAACGAAAAGGGAAAAAAAGGCCTCACTGGGGCAGAAACACACGATATCTTTAAACAAACAAAGGCTACTAAGTACTTTTATCTGAGTTCAAAATCGAGTAAATCCAAATATCCAACCAAGCTAACCGAGGAGAGTAAGACAGAGGTTTGGTCTCCCACTGAAAAACTGAAACAGGAGTCCTTTTAACTAGCGCTTCATCATCATGGGATTGTCCGCAGCTGTTGCAGAGTGAATGGGCGAGGCGGAGGCCAGCCTGACGGAGGACCTGTCCAAGGTCCTGAAAAGCCTGGAGGAAAAACACAGGGCCACACAAGGCACGGGAGCCCAGGATCCGTAACAGACAAGACTACAAAACAAATGAAGCTGTATTTTAAATACTGTTTTACAGTAATCCTTTCATATCCAAAATGTAATTTCCTGGTGTGTTTTTTTGTTTTGTTTTTTTTGTTTTTATGGCAAGCCAAATGAGCATTTATTCTGATATCAGGATATCAGCCAGAATTGTCATGAACATGTAAGCCATTTCTGTCCACTAGTTAACTAGTTAGCCATGTTTGTGTCAACTAGTTAAATAGTGACAGCCTAAATGTCAACTAGTTAACTAGTAAGGCCTAAATTCTCTCTAGTTAACTAGTTAAAATGTTTCATATCTTACTAGTTAACTAGTATTGCTCAGTGTGTTCACTAGTTAACTAGTGGACAGATCAATGTCCACTAGTTAACTAGTTAAAACACATTTAGTTTTTACTAGTCAACTAGTAAGGTACAAAAACTCGTACTAGCTGACTACTGAATGTAAAAATCCCACTTGTTAACTTTGCCCAATTTGGCCAGCCGCTTGAGCATTAATTCTGATATCTTGTCAACAGGTCAACTAGTTAACTAGTGAGGGTCAAACTGTACACGCTAGTTAACTAGTGAACACATTTTGACCTTCACTAGTTAACTAGTTGACACAAAAATGGCTCATTAGTTAACTAGTAAAGGCCAAAATGCATACCAGTCAGCTAGTTGAAGGTTTTTGTGTCTCACTAGTTAACTAGTGATGGCCAAAATGTGCACACCAGTTAACTAGTGACAGAAGAAATGCCCACTAGTTGACAAGTGAACACATTTTGGCTTCCTAGTTAACTAGGTGACACAAAAATGGCTCACTAGTTAACTAGTAAGGGCTAAAATGCATACCAGTCAGCTAGTTGAAGGTTTTTGTGTCTCACTAGTTATCTAGTGACAGTTCAAAGTGTCCACATGTTCACTAGTGAAGGCAAAACTCCTAACCAGTTAAGTAGTTGGAGTAGGGCAGTGCCACTAGTTAACTAGTGAACCATTAATGACTCACTAGCTAGCTAGTTGATTGTAGCAGGCTCACTAGTTACCTAGTTGATGCATCCATCGTCCAAACTAGTTAACTAGTGAGGACATAAATGTATACTAGTAAACTAGTTCAAGCCTACATTCACACTAGCTAGCTAGTTGCACAGAATTCTAATTAGGAGGCAGAGAATTTCTCAAATTGAGGCTTTCTATTGGCTCACTATGTTAAAATAAAATATGACAACCAATCACAGTGCGGAATTTTGCAAAATCCCACCCCAAACATTTGCATGCGGCACACAAGTTAACATGCTGGCCAGAGGAACCTCAGCTAGTAAACTAGTAGTGGCTTCAGTGTGACACTTACATGTAAACTTGTGAAGGCGGAACTGCTCACTAGTTAACTAGAGAGGGTACAAATGTCCACTAGTTGACTAGTGAGGTGCAAAATAAGTGTCACTAGTTCACTAGTGGGCCCCAAAACGCCCACAAGTTAACTAGTAAGGTGCGGATATGCTCACTAGTTAACTAGTGAGGTGCAGATTTGCTCACTAGTTAACTAGTGCACCCTTAAGCACCCACTAGTTAACTAGTAAGGTGCAAAAAAGCATCACTAGTTAACTAGTAAGGTGCAGATATGCTCACTAGTTAACTAGTGGGCCCCAAAACGCCAACTAGTTAACTAGTAGGGTGTGGATTTGCTCACTAGTTAACTAGTGAGGCGCAGATATGCTCACTAGTTAACTAGTGACGTGCGGATTTGCTTACTAGTTAACTAGTGAGGCGCAGATATGCTCACTAGTTAACTAGTGAGGTGCGGATTTGCTCACTAGTTAACTAGTGAGGTGCGGATTTGCTCACTAGTTAACTAGTGAGGTGCAGATTTGCTCACTAGTTAACTAGTGAGGTGCGGATTTGCTCACTAGTTAACTAGTGAGGTGCGGATTTGCTCACTAGTTAACTAGTGAGGTGCAGATATGCTCACTAGTTAACTAGTGAGCATATCTGCACCTCACTAGTACCTCACTAGTTAACTAGTGAGCATATCTGCACCTCACTAGTTAACTAGTGAGG